TACCATATTGAAAAATATACTATTTTTGTATGATAATTATGGGTTTTGTATTTTATTTTAATAGAAGTTGATGTTGCTTTTGCAATTATCCATCAATTTTTTAAAATTAAACACTATCTACAGATTTGCATCGAAGCGTTTCTTATGATAGTGATTTTAATCACTGTCAGATTAAATCTATACTGGACCCTACTATGCAATTTTTCTGTTGATTTAACAAAATAATTGTTAATTTGTTCAATTTTTTTAATCTTTGGGCAAAATACTGGTTAAATTAACAAAAATTATGTTTCATTTAACAAAAAGTTTATTGGACGTATTTTATTTGTTAATTTTATCGGAGAATATTTTTCAGTGTCTAGCGGTTATGAGTAACGTCTTTAAATAACTCTGTGTCAAACTCGTTTAGATCCATTTAGCTAAAAATCTAAAAACATTGACTTTTAATCATAGAATTTTAGATTTCTTATTTAATAAAAATTGATCACTTGTGGCTAACATTATTTAAAATTATAATAAAAATATAATTTAAAAATTCAAAATAAATGAAATAAATTTAAAACATTAGTATGGTGATTTTCCGAAAATTGGGTTAGGTATGTATAAGATATTTTTGCAGTATAAACTAAGATTTTAATACGGAGTTTTTCATACAACATTTAAATTATTTTTATGCTTCGATTAAATTTACATACGAACAGTAGTTGAAGGAAAATTGTTTTATTTAGATTTATTCAATACAGGTGGCTCTAATGTGAGCTTCCTCCTCACCGCCCCGTCATTGTCTCTTTTGCTTTTTGTCGCATATAAACTTATTGTACATATAACTGTATAGATTGTAAGTTTTCTAATAAACACGTTCTTAAAAAAAAAAAATTAAAATTTATCGGAAATTTATTTGTTCAGGTACATTCCGAATAATTCGAATTCGCATAAAAAATGTATTCAATAATTACTGCATTGAAATTAGAAATCCTCTTTTTTTTTTTATTTAGATATCCTAATGCAGCACAGGAAAAAAATCCAGAGTACTCTCTGAAGATGATAAGGGACATACGGTGGAAAAACCAACCTCTTGTGCTAACATCTCTGGTTAATGTGGAGGAGATTATCAGGTCTTAAGAGTGAACTGGTAGGCTCTTACTAGTTCTGGACGATAATAGTCCATTCTACCAAGTTCCTCTGATGTACCTCAATGGACAGGAAGAAATATTTGTTGGTCAAG